AGAAAAAAAACAAACCTTCTCTCACCTCACTTCACTGAAACACAGAAACTCTTCCTCTTTGTCCAAATTACAGTGAATTTATCCCCTTAAATTATAACTCCCCTCACACAGACTGAATGATTTCTGTTTATTTATTGGTAGATGATTATTTTGATCTTTTCATCATTATTTGAGCTGTTTGATATTCCACAGTGTCTGTGAGTATAGACCCCTCACCTGCAGACTGACCCTCCAGCAGCTGGAGCTGACTCCTCCCCGCTCTGACTTTGGTCATCAGATATATTGATGCTTCCTCAGCCGGTGTGTTTTTTTTCTTCTCATTGGTTTATTCACAGCTGACTGGACCGGGCTGCTGCTGCTGCTGCTGCTGCTGCTGCTCTCTGTCACACAGTGTTCAGAACATCCTCAGCAGCCCGTGGAAATATGGACCCCTGCTCCGCTTGTTTTTCCAGCATCGATCCTCTCTCTGTTCCAGCTGCTGCTCTCAGCTCTGCTGCTGAACCTCACTCCCTCACTCTCCCTGTTTTCTGAGGGATGACTGTTTGAACCAGCGTTAACCTCTGAGTCTGAGGGGTCTTCGAGGGTCTCATTTATAACCAGGAAGTACAGGTGTGCCTGAAGGATGAGGCCCTGGGTTCGCGCTACCAGGTTCAGGTCTGTCCAGGTAAGACTTTGTTAACTTTGTTATTTATAATATAAAGATATGAAGAGAGTTTTTTTATTATTTCTGACCTTAATATAAATATGTAAATAAACCCCCAAAATAGTCAAGTGTGACTTTCTTCACCTGAAGCCGTAATGAAACAACCATCTCTGAGGGGTTTGATGGATCACAGGTCAACACCTCCATAAATAATATAATATGATATGAAATGATATAATATGATATAAAATAGTATAGTTTAGTATAGTATAACATAATAAAATATAATTAAATAATATTAAATATTATAATTAAATAATATAATAATTTTATTATGAATGTCCCTTCGGGATTAATAAAGTTATTCTTATTTTTATTATTATAGTATAATATAATATAAAATAATATAATATAGTGAAATGTAGTATATCAAGGCAAGTTTAAAGTACCAACACTTTACCTGTTTGTATATTTGACAGGTGTTGTGATTATTTTTGTTAATGGGCTTTTTATTGGACTGAACTGTATGTGATTCTCTTTAATTAAAAAACGACGTCACGGTTAGATTTCACATATTAAAGAATTATTAATGATTAATTTGGATCACTTTATAGTCAGGGCCCGTTTTATCCTCCATATTATTATTATGGTGAATACTGAGGTGATGTTGGTTGTGTATCGTGTTTGGCCCTGAGTGAGGTCTGACAGGTAAACAGGCCTGTCCTCAGCACAGGTGTTGGGCTCTGTTGGTGTCAGGAACCTCCTCCACTGAAACTTGGATCAGTCTCAGCCTGTTTATTTGGATAATAGACCCTGAAATGTAACTCCACCAGCAGATGATTATTATCGGTGGTTGTTGTTGTAGTTCTCATGTCAGCCACAAGTGCTCTGAATCGTGTAGTTCAGGTTATAAAATCTTAATAAGTTTGTGTGTTTTTTTAAATATATAATCAGGACCGTTTGACCGTTTGATTTCTCAATAACCTCCGAATAAAAAAGGAGCTAAGGTTGAATTTAAATTAAATGAAGTAAAAGCTGTTTTTTGTGTTCCAGCCTCCAAGTGAAAAAGGTTTAATGAACTCGAGGCGGATCAATATGATGCTACAGTGCACATGTTGTGTTATGTAAGCAGATGGACAGGACAGCTGACGGTGCAGGATTGATCATCCTCTCTAAATTTTGGAGTGGTGCCTTTTTCTTCCAGCCTGAGGACAGTTCCTCTAACTGCTGTGTCATCATGGACTCTAACGTTAGTGTTCGGGTGGTTCTCAGGCGACAGGAGGTCACACACAATCCTCAGCCTGTTCGTGTGAATATGTGTGAAATTTAATACATAATTAAGCTTCAAAATAGATAAAATACCACTGTGAGAACGTTAAAGTTTTATTATATTTAAGGTAACAGGGCATCAGTGTGTAAAGGTGAGAGGTTCTGCTTGAACAGTTTCTTAAACTTGAGTCAGATCATATTCAAAAGAATGAAGCAGAAAAAGATCCTTTTTATAAAACTCGTGTTATTCAGCTGATAATGATAATTAGTTTTAGTCTTTTAAAATGACTGTACTTAGACCACTAGAGGGTGACATCGAGCTGAGAGGAGAAATAACTGAAGGAATAACAATTAAAGATATTTTGACATAAAAAGAAAACCCTTAATTAAAAACCCTTAATTACTGCTGATGTGTGTAAAAAGTTTTTGTAAACCTATTTTTTATAATTCAAAGTTTATTATTTTTCAATGTTGCAGCAGACAAACGAACATCAAACAAAACAGATGTAATGGAGGTCAAAGATAGTCATAATGATAAAATAAAAAAGAGGAAAATAAAGACAGAGAGTGAACACATCTGTCTCTCAGAACTCTCCCAGTTTTCTCATTTTCACTCTGTAATCTCTCCATCATCATCATCATCATCATCTGTGTTTCCCTCAGACTCAGAGTCGGAGCTCAGGGTTCCTCAGAATAGTCTGTACACATGTTCCACTTCCTGCCCCACACTTCAACAGAGATCATTATGAATTAAACCCATTCTGTTCAATATCTATAAATGATTTTATACTGAATAAATGTGCCTCTGGTTTCTCTTCTGTATTCTTCAGAGTTAAAGAGGATCCCTTCACATGATTTTTCTCTATCCAGTGTAGAAGACAGATCTTTCTCCTATATCCTCTGAAGATCTTAACAACCATGATTATTTATCCAAGGACTCATCTCAGACCATCTTGAAGCTCTAGGATGGATTTTGGGTTAATGAAGTAGAATTAGATTGGACTTCTGTCCTGACCAACAGGAACCACCTCTTTAACACAGTCTCTTCTTTATTTACAAAAGTGAACTCTACCCTATAAATGAATGTTTTCTTAAAGTCTAATATAAGAAAGACGATTTCAAATAGATCATCTGTTATTCGGAGTTTTTGTTGACAGATTAGTCTAAGTCATGGTTTTCGGATCTCGAAAGGCGGATTTTACAGGGAGTCCCTGAAGGCACCGCGAGAGGAGGCATAAAGGCGTGAGTGTGCGCGTGCGCCGACGTCGACGCAGCAGCAGCAGCCCTGCCTGTTTCTGGTCGCTGACGTCGTTCTCCCCATAGATATCTATAAGAAAGACTAGATGACTCTATAAGGCGGAGTCACCGGCGTCCCTACACGGCGGCCATCTTACTCCAGTTTACCATTCTGGTTCGCTCTAAGGTAGTTAGTAGCAAGAGAAAAAAAAGACTTAATCATGAAGCACAGTTGTTGTCAAGGCTGTGACCACAATGGAGATTTTAATTTCTTATATAACAGCCTATTTATTTATTTATTCAATCTAATTGTCAGTCTTTGTGGATGGTCTTGTGTTTATCAGCTGTCTAACTTAGCTAACTAAGACCAAGTACACATTACAAAGTTGACCCAGTAATTTTACATTAGTTAAAGAGGCAGAAATGCTCTTTAGATTCAACACAACTGAAGTTGTTCATGGTTTCCAAACTGTTTGGTTTGTTAAAAACATCTAATATGGAAACATGAGGCAGAAATTTATATAGAAAATATAAAATATTTATATATGTTATTGTTATATGTTATTATAGTTATCCCTATAATAAAAATATTACTGATATAACATACATGTAATGATTAAATATTTTATATATAAATGATTTAATATAACTGCCTTGTGTGTGTAGGCCTATAGCTATTGATCTACCTATCTGTTTAATGTTTATTTATGTAAATCCATGGTTAAAATTATTCTTGAGTATACAGGAACATAACTAAAACTCTGAGGTTTGTTACAAACCAAACCGTTTGAAAATCGGTTTAAAATTAATCAATCTATGGTTATTTAAATGTTACATGAACCGTAGACTGGAATGTTAGGAGTGGACGAGCTGACCGTAGCAAAATGGCCGCCATGCGCGGACGTCGGTCTCCATTGGCTCACAGCGTGCGTAAGACATCTAGCGTTTATATCTGTATCTATGGTTCTCCCTCCCTCTTTCTCTGGTTACTGTGTGTCTCGGGAGGTGGAGGGAGATCCCGTTTTCTTTCATCGTTTTCGCCCTAAATTGTCGTTATTTCTCGGACACACGGACGCGGTTTTATTCGCTGTTTTTGACGCCGCCGGAGATCTTCGTTTACCCGCCAAAACCCTGACAACAGAACCGACAGAGGAGAGCAGAGGGCGGACAGGACAGAGAGGAAGAGCCGGAGACTGAGCTGAACATCCGCCGCTTTCTTCAGGTCAACCCTTCATTTAAAGCCCAGGACTCGGTTCTGTCTGTTCACGGGCCGGTACCGTGTCTCGGTTCTCCGTTATTCCCTCTCCGTCTGTCCCGGTTGGATCCTCCGGTTGGACGTTTGTCACCGAGAAAATCTCATTAACTCCGTCAGGAAAACAAACCCCCCCTCTATGGTCACGGGGACATACGGAGACCCCGGCTGTTCTCTGGTTCTGGACCCCTTCAGGTCCCTCCATGGTTCTGTTCCCGAACTTTTCCTATAATGAGAGGATTCAGGTCCAAGTAAAGCCGCCGGTACCGTGTTGTTCTTGGTGATCCGGGTCTATTTATCCTCGACATGGTCCGATAACGTCAGGGTGGACCGGGGAAAGTGAGAGCAGAAGTGGGGGGACGGTCCGGGTTGTTTGAGGCCGGTTCGGTTCTGCTAACAGACATGAGGTGGATGTTCTGATCTGATCCATCTAAGCTGGATCACAGTGAGGTGATCCGTGCTGCCTTCACGGACCTGACGATGAGGAGTGGATGAGAAGAACTGCTGCTGTTATTCTACTGTCTGTTTGACCCAGTCTGAACGGAACCAGAACCTCACTTTCTTCACTGCTGGACGGACAGGTCCAACTCAGGGACAAACATGTCTTTACGGACGGCACTACCCGGGAACGAGCGGAACCCGGACCATGTAAGTAGACCACATCAGTCCATCAGAAATACCGACTCATTCATCCCGTCCAGAACCTCCAGGCCCACAGATCAGTCTGCCTGTTCAAACGGACCCAGAGTCTGATCTGGACCGGGCTGGACCGGATCTTGAGGTGTTAAAGATCAGAAATAATTGATCACTTTTACAAATATCAGGTTTTCACCCACCGGCGTCCTCACTGCGCATGTCCGTTTGACTCCTCCAGCTGATCAATAATAAATGGATCTGATGCAAGGCCCCCATCCCTCTCCACACCCTCCCTCCCTCCCTCCCTCCCTCCCTCCTCTCTCACCTCCATCATGAATCCTTTTGTACCTCCTGGGCCTCCGTACCTCTGATCCCTCTGAACGGGTCTGTGAAATCTGCTGTGTCAGGCCGGTCTGGGAGGACCAGGGTCTGTTAGAGGGTCTTTGGGGGGTCAGGACTTCAGGTTACATTTCTGTCTTTATAACAGACCTGCAGTCTAACCTCTAACCTGTTCAGGCATCATGTCTGTCCAGAGGACCCCCACCTTTCTCTCAAGGACACCGAGCTGACACCACCCCTCACTTCTCCACCTTGAGCTGCAGCCGACCAAACTCCGACTCACTTCCTCCAAATTTAACACTAAAATTAGTCACACCGTCACTATCAGGTGATTTTGACCTGAAATAATAAACCAAAGAAAAAGTCAATGACATCAAAATAAATCAAAACCCGACGAGTGAAAGTCGTTTTATGTTTTTAACTGTTTAACGTCTAAAGGGAGGAGAAAAAGGGACCATTTAAAAAAACAACAAAATAACTGGAATCAGACATTCATCAACAACAAATATAATATAAACTGTAAAGTGAGTTTCTTTTCCACCCATCCCTGCGGTATGTGAGTCTTCTCAGGGTCCTCGGCACAAAAACAGGAGAGAGAACCGAAACATGTCAGATTTGGAGTAAAAATGACTCCAATATTTCCTCTCACCATCAGAATCCCCTTAAAATCACGACTCTGTGATAGTTACTCATAACCACTGTGTTAAATAAAGAGAGCAGGTAAACTCCAGGACCGCTCTGACTGAAAACCAACTCAATAAACAATCACTAAGTTAAAGGAACCTTAACTCTGTGTCACTCAGAGACGTCCACCCTGTGACAGGACCACAGCTGGAGTCCATGCAGGGAGGGTAAATATGACGTCCTGAAGGTTGTCTGCCCTGAAATGCAGTAAGATCTAGGGATGCACGATATTTATCGGACCGATAAAATATCGGCCGATTTGGGGGGAAATTACGTCATTTTTTATCGGTCCGATAGGTGCATTTTTCCGATAGAAAGATCCGATATATTAATGAAATTACGAGTAACGTTTGCAGGCGGAGTAGCCGCCCGTCCGAGACGCGCTGGTTACGTCATCTATCGCGCCTTACTCGCAGGTCCCAAGCCTGACCCCGTCACTACCTGACTGATAATTAAATGTCTTCACCAGCATGGTCGTTTCTCTCAGTGGCAGAAGATGACAACAGCTGCTATATGCAAAACCTGTTCAGCGAGGATTCCGAGAGGAGGAAAGAAGACGTCAAGTTTTAACACAACGAATCTGATAGCTCATCTGAAAAGTCGCCATCGCGGCGAAGCGGTATTAAAGGACTATGAGACAGCCGCCGAAGCCGCTAGCGGTACTAAAGCTAAGACAACAACACTACGGAGGATCGATGTCCCCACTCAGCAGGCGTTTAAAAACTGCAAAAGCTTCTCAAGAGACAGCGAAAAGGCTAAAGCCATTAACGACAAAGTGATGGAGTTCATAGCGGTCGACGACCAGCCTTTTTCCGTCGTTGAGAACCCGGGTTTAATAGCACACTTGGAGCCACGTTACACTCTCCCAAGCCGCCGCTTCTTCTCGGATGTGTCTCTTCCTGCACTCTATGATATTGTCGCCACATACATTCACAACCTGATCGACAAGAACGGACTACACGTGAGTTTTACCACAGACATATGGACGTCAGATGTTAGTCCGGTCAGCATGCTAATCCTAACGTCTCATAATGGCTCCTTTACAGTTTACAGTTCTGTTGAACAGTTCAGGGGATCAAATGAAGTTCTGCTTTTTGCTCTGTTATTGTTATTTATAGCAAATGACCACATTTGAAGAGCCAAAAACTTTAGTTTGTTGTTCTAGATAGGCCAGAGCAACAAAAATATCAGTTTTCAATCGCTGCATCCTGCACAAACTGCAGATTATATGAAGATTATAATAAATGTAAAAATATGAATTTATCGGTTATCGGTATCGGCCATGAGAAGAAGAAAATTATGGGTTATCGGTATCGGTTGAAATTTTTCATATCGTGCATCACTAGTAAGATCACCTGCTTTTATACTCTATCACTGTTGTGATCGGGTGAGAATCAGCCTGTGAACCCGTGTCTGTAGGAAAAGCAGGTTCTGGATCAGAGAAACTAAGATGTCTTCAAAGATGTCAAAGGAAACGCTGAAGATACTCAGACAAACACAACATCATGAAGATCACCTAAAACATGTTTGATCGGTTAAAATCACCCTGTCATCGTCTTCTAGGGTTAAAGAGTCAGTGCTCTGCTGCTGTGACCCCAATTTATCTCGGTGTGTCTCCTGTGGGGGGGGTCTCTCTGGTCCAGGTCTTCACTTTGACCCTGTTTCACAGTGTTGTATTTTAGAGTTTGTGGTGGTAGCTGCAGGCCGTGACGTGAGTCTTCAGAGTCTGCCATGGGAAAATATTTGAGAATGGTTCCTGAACACGAGGCTCTGCTGCTCAGGGGCATGTTCTGTCTGCAGGGAGAGGAGCCCAGGAGGTTCACGTGGGAGGAGATCCTCCGACCTGCTGTGTGACTTTGACAGAGGAGCTGCTGCAGATTCTGACAGGGAGGTGTTTATTATCTGGAGTCTCCGTCACGTCCCTCATACACAGACTCTGATCTCCATGTGGAGCTTCAGACAGGTGGTGTCAGACCACACCCTGACGTAGGACTGTCACTGCGTTTAGACCGAGCCCTTTGGTTCCCGTTACAGTCAGGATTTAGACCAGCAGGACTCTCCAGGGTCTGGTTTTGAGGTCTTCTGCTGTGTTACGGTGACTCCTCTCATCGGCTGTAACAGGATCTGGAGCGTCTGCTTCCCTTCAACAAAACAGGACACTGGGGTTTAGGTTCGTTTGTATCGGTGACTCCTTTAATTATCCGTCTGGTTTGAGTGTTAAAACAGTCATTTATTGTTCAGAACAGGAAAGAGAACAGACTGATCCAGGTCCGAAATCTTTGTCTTCTAATGAAAAAGTGATGAGATGAAAATGAGGTGAAAACAGGACGAGTGAAATGAGGAAAAACAGAAACAGAAAATAATCAGAGCTTACAAAACCCACCTGTGTGAGATTTAAATAAGAACCACACCCCTCAGTGACCACACCCCTCAGTGACCACACCCCTCAGTGACGTACCTTAGTAGAAATCATATCCTAAATGAATCTGTTTCGGCTCCTTCAGGATCAGTTCTCCAGCGGAGGACCTGCAGTAGCTCAGACGTTTGTTTGTGGTTTAGAGGAGGTCCTGCATGGAGGTGGACTTTGAGTCTCAGCAGCTCTGTGCTCGTGTTAGTCACATTAACACTCAGCAGGTTTGGATATGAAGGAGCTTCTTACAGGGACAAACTCAGACAGCAGAGTGACGACTGAGCATGCTCAGTCACAATCCACTCTCACCCGCAACCTCACCATGGCGACGACAAGGGGTCCTTTATGACCTCCTCACTCGACTCTGAAGGCGCCCTCACAAACACAGAGTCTGAGGTTCGATCAGGAATATTGGAAATTTATTGATCATTAAGTTTAAGAATCAAACTGAAGACTTGATGATCTTCATGTTGAACTTCAGGTTTTTATACGTTTAAGAACATTTTTGAGCAGAACCTCCTGACAAACCTGCAAACATTATCAACGACATCGACGCTCCAGAGCTGAGATCATTCATCAGTGAGAGATAATGAGACCACAGCAGACATGACAGACAGACAGAGAGTTCACAGCAGCGTCCAGAACTCTCAGGTTCTTCTGACGTGGACTAAAAACAGACTTTGGTTCTGGTGTTAAAGATACTCAGAGTTAAAGTCCATCATCTCCTCAAAACCTGATGATACTTCAGTAAAAATAACAGTACATGACCTCAGTGATCTTGTCCTCCTCCTCCTCCTCGTGTTCGTTTGTTGGTGAAGTTCTGACCCGTTCATTCAGATTGAAGAGGATCAGTTTTTTGTCTTTTAGGACGTTCATGTTTTAATGAAGATCCTTCATGTTTAATGGGAGTCAATGACAAACATTCAAACCTGAGTTTAAAGGAAGTGACTCGTAGACTCTGAGCAGATGGATGATGAAGTGAAGTCCAGATTTTACATGAAGAAGTGACAGAGTTAGTTTTTACGGTGTGTCCTTAAACTCATCACACTGACCTCAGATCTGCTCCTCTCTCCTCTCACCTGTCAGGTCCTCAGGTGTCGCTCAGGTGTCGCTTTTGTCTCTCATTGTGTTTCTGTTTTTACGGACTGATTGTTGTGCTGAGGTTCGAGGAACGAGGACGTCTGTTTCTGAGGGGACTGTGTGTGTGTGTGTGTGTGTGTGTGTGTGTGTGTGTGTGTGTGTGTGTGTGTGTGTGTGTGTGTTTAAACACAGAGCTGTAATCATGACCAGTGAAGGTGAACTGAGCGTCTGTGTCGTCTGTGTCTGTGAGGACAGACAGACAGACAGACAGACGGTGTTGTTTCCTCTCCTCTGGGTTAGTCATGAGGCTGAAATCGTGTCAGAGAGAAAAGGAGGAACTGAGGAGGACCAGAGGAGGAGGAGGAGGAGGAGGAGGAGTGTTGGTGCTTGTGTGCACTTGTATAAAGCCGTCATGTCTTTGTGTTCTGGACAAGACAAAGATTCACCAGAACACGCCGCCCTGACTTGTTTCCCAAAGCTGGTGCCCTCCTCTGATGCCCCCGCCCGCCGGCGTCCGCTCCACCCAGAAACACATCAGCTCCCAAACAGCCCGGGGTCTGGATCATCTGGTCCACTCAGGTCTGCTGATCCGTGCGTGATTGCTCTCAAATTAGGCAGGTTGATATTGGATGACCTATATCGGACACAATGGCGTGCTGACGTCGGCTGTTCTGTAAATCCGCCAGCTTAAACCAACTCAAACGGGTTTGGAGTTTTTGGTGCAACAGCAGCTCAAAGGTCAGAGAAGTGGGCCAGTTCCCCGTAAAGGTCCGGCTTAAGTCCCTGGAGAGGTGACTGAGCCGCCATCTGTCTAGACCGTACGTTTACCTCCTGGGCGGGCAGGAGAGCGGGCAGGAGGGCGGTCAACCTTTTGGCGATTCTTCTCAATGGTTAGTTTTGGCGTATGTTTGCCGAGCTCAGCAGATCTGAGGTGGTGGAGTCTGAATGTGAAGCAGGTCGGTTCTGGAAAAAGAGCTTAAGAGATTTGGCAGAGCGTCCCGTTAATGACTCAGCAGAGCCAGAAATTAGGCCTGAACTTTCACCGCCGCCTCCTCCTCCTCCTCCTCCTCCGCCTCCTCCTCCTCCGCCTCCTCCTCCTCCTCCTCCTCCTCCTCCTCCTCCTTCTCTCTCCGTTAGTCTGAAAACTTTCACCGCCGAGGTTCTGAAGTCTGTTTGACCTTTTTTAGTTAAACCGTGTCGTTGTTGTTGTTGTTGTTTTTAAACAGCTGTTTCTGTCCGTTTTTTATCTTCTGGTGTTTTTCTTCAGTTCAGACTTTGAGGTCATTATTAAAGGACCTTCAGTGGCTCTCAGTCAGACTGTCCTGTTGATCATGTGAGGGGCCCCTCAGCTCTCTGTAGACCCTCAGGCCTGTACAGTTAAAGCAGATCTATAATCTTCTCTCTCAAACACGTTGTCCTCTCTCCTGTCCTCTCTCCTGTCCTCTCTCCTGTCCTCTCTCTTGTCCTCTCTCTTGTCCTCTCTCTCCTGTCCTCTCTCCTGTCCTCTCTCTCCTGTCCTCTCTCCTGTCCTCTCTCCTGTCTTCGTCTCTCGTCTTTATTTCCTGTGGTGGTTGAACATCATCTTCACATAGATGTCTCTATGGTCATTCACTTAGCTGTTTGAGGACCACAGAGTCTGTTTCTGAGATGTTCTGGTCCACCAGAGGAAGTTCTGCAGGAGAAACAGCTGATTATAGATTTCAGAGTGTTTGTTAGAGGAGAGAGAGAAAGACTGAGCTTCACATCAGCATCTCTGTAAGAGTGTTTATCTTTATTATCTTTATTATCTTTATTATTATTATTAAGTTATAGTGGTGCAACGGATCACAAAACTCACGGATCGGATCGTTCCTCGGATCAAGAGTCACGGATCGGATCATTTTTCGGATCAGCAAAAAGAAAAAAAAACAAGACAAATAAAATATATAAAAGTAGTGCACAGGGCATAATATCTTCTTTTTAACATAATTATTAATGAAAAACAACTTAAAGTACAATATACAGGCATATCTCCTTCCTTTAAAATGTAACAATGAACCAAAAATGAAGTGTGTGCGCGATGGGATGTCGTAACGTGGCTCAAGCACTTTCAGCATGTTTTTAAAGCACTCGTTTTGCACAACTGAATACGGCCTCATGTCTGCAGCTATAAACACACCGATAGAGTTTTTGAAAGCTTTAGCCTGGTCGGATTGCGCAGGAAGAGGCTGCTTAAATGCTGCGGTGATGAGCGGTTGTTGGGCAGCTTTCGTTTTATCTCAGGTGTTATGCCAAAGAATGCACCCCTGCCGTATAGTGCACCCCCTAACGGGAGCGCGGTTGAAAGTACATAACAAGGCGAAATAATACAAGTTTTCCTTACGTTGGATGTATTCAACAGCGTTTGCCTTTAATAATTTCATTCAGGCTATTCATATCAAATATGAGATCATTATCTCCACTTTAAGAAGCTAACGGGTGGAGGGGATGCAGGGGGTGCGTTCTACGGCAGGGGTGCAATCTACGGCACAACACCTGTCAGTAAAACACCCGGGTGATGTCGCTTCAAATGCGTGAACATGCTCGATGTGTTTCCACTGTCATATGGCTTTCTTATGCCACAGTGCCTACACTCCGTCGCAGTTTTGTACACTGACCTCTTTCCTCCTTCATCATAATTGACAGGGAAGCCAAAATGCTCCCATACAGGGGATTTAAGTGTCGCGGGGCGTTCGAGCTCCTCCTTTCTCCGCTTTCAGAAATCGATCCGCGGATCACATGTGTGCCGAACCGAACACGTCGATCCGAACGGATCACGGATCAATGATGATCCGTTGCACCACTATTAAGTTATTATTAAAGGGCAACTGAGTGTTAGACTCAGTTAGCTCTCCCTCTCTCTCTCTCTCCCTCCCTCTCTCTCTCTCTCTCTCTCTCTCTCTCTCTCTCTCTCTCTCTCTCTCCCTCTCTCTCTCTCTCTCTCTCTCTCTCTCTCTCTCTCTCTCTCTCTCTCTCTCTCTCTCTCTCTCTCTCTCTCTCTCTCTCTCTCTCTCTCTCTCTCTCTCTCTCTCTCTCTCTCTCTCTCTCTCTCTCTCTCTCTCTCTCTCTCTCTCTCTCTCTCTCTCTCTCTCTCTCTCTCTCTCTCTCTCTCTCTCTCTCTCTCTCTCTCTCTCTGCGGCCTGGTCATGACTTCCTCTTCACAGTCGTCTCTTTAGTTTCCTGTTTCATCATCAGCTGAACCTCTCCTCCTCTCCTCTGCTCCTCTGCTCCTCTTCTCCTCCTCTCCTCTGCTCCTCTGCTCCTCTTCTCCTCTGCTCCTCTGCTCCTCTCCTCTTCTCCTCTGCTCCTCTGCTCCTCTTCTCCTCTTCTCCTCTTCTCCTCCTCTCCTCTGCTCCTCTGCTCCTCTCCTCTGCTCCTCCTCTCTTCCTCTCCTCTGCTCCTCTTCTCCTCTCCTCTCCTCCTCTCCTCCTCTCCTCTTCTCCTCTGCTCCTCTCCTCTGCTCCTCCTCTCTTCCTCTCCTCTGCTCCTCTTCTCCTCTCCTCTCCTCCTCTCCTCCTCTCCTCTTCTCCTCTGCTCCTCTCCTCCTCTCCTCCTCTCCTCTTCTCCTCTCCTCCTCTCCTCTTCTCCTCTGCTCCTCTGCTCCTCTCCTCTGCTCCTCTCCTCTTCTCCTCTTCTCCTCTGCTCCTCTCCTCATCTCCTCTCCTCTGCTCCTCCTCTCCTCTGCTCCTCTCCTCCTCTCCTCCTCTCTTCCTCTCCTCTGCTCCTCTGCTCCTCTCCTCTGCTCCTCCTCTCCTCTGCTCCTCTGCTCCTCTCCTCTTCTCCTCCTCTCCTCTGCTCCTCTTCTCCTCCTCTCCTCTGCTCCTCCTCTCCTCTGCTCCTCCTCTCCTCTGCTCCTCTCCTCTGCTCCTCCTCTCTTCCTCTCCTCTGCTCCTCTCCTCCTCTCCTCTGCTCCTCTGCTCCTCCAACCCTCTGACTCCTGGATCTACGTCAGTGAACCCAAACGGACCCGCTTCAGTTCTGTGACGGTGTGAGTCGGGTTAGTTTGGTTCTGACCGAGTCCTCAGCTGTGTGTCCTCTTATCCAGGTTCATGTCCAGAACCGCACTGACAGTCCTGGTACGTAAACCTTTGAGTCCAGGATCAACACGGGGGGGCGGGTCCAAAAACCCTCTGATGGTGGGGGGGTGGGGGTGGAGACAGAGCGCTCTACATCTGTGGACATGACTGTCTCAGAACCGTTCTTGGACTAACCGGTCCGACTGGTTCAAGGCTCGGAGATTAAAATCAGAACAAAGTGACGTCATGTTCAGCAGATATTGATCAGATATTGATCAGATATTGATCGACCTGCAGGTTCAGACGCCGTCATGCAGACAGAGATGAAGACGTTGTTGTTTTACGTCAGAGCGAAGATCAGCTGAACCTCCTGATAGATCAGACTGTGAGGGTCTCAGTGACTCAGCAGATTAGAACCGGGTCAGTACAGAGACCCAGAACCCCGAGTCTGGCCCAGGAGTGAGTCAGCTCTGATGTAGATCCACACAGAACAGATCTGAGATCTGAGCCGGTCCGCCTCGGTCTGGTCCGATCATCATCACAGTCCTGCAGCCTGAGAGGAGATCCTGCTGAGTCATGTGGCAGATCTCCAGAGGCTCACACTAAACTGTGTGTGTGTGTGTGTGTGTGTGTGTGTGTGTGTGTGTGTGTGTGTGTGTGTAGCACAGACAGAGGAATCCTGTTACACTTTGCGTACTGCAGCAGTCAGAGTGAAGTCTGCGCTCACAGATTTTCTTCGGCTGGTTTTGACTGAAACTGTTGGAGGTTCCTCACCAGGACAAGGACTGTCATGGACCTCATTATGGACCTCATCATGGTGGTCCTCAGGGTCAGGCGGCCATGTTTGAGCCTCAGTTTTAGTCGGCCTGTCCTTCTCTGACATGTTTTTGTTTTCGGCCTCAGTTTCCTCGTGGAGGATGACAGGAAGTGTTTAGTGAGCGTTGTCGTGGACATCTGACATGTCTGCTGTCATCACGCTGACAGGAAGTGACGCAGGCTGAGCTCATGTAACTTCCTGCTGCTCTTGACACACAGTCCTGATGGAGGATTGAGAAATGAGAGGCTGATTCAGATCCTCAGACATGGAGATGTTTGAGGGTCAGCAGAGAGGAACCGGTCTGAGGGGGACCTGAGGAAAACCTTCAGGACTTTTTCCTTCATTTAGACATGACGTGATGAGCTCTGGGAACACTGGGAGTTCTGGGACATTCCCAGTGACCTGAGGAACCTTCATCCTGCCATGAGCGGTCAGTCAGTCAGTCAGGATGAAGGTTTACTCAGACCCGACTCTTCGTACCCGACATGATGAACCCTGAAGTTATTCTGATCCCAGTCTGCCTCCTCAGGGTAAAGGTCACTGGAGCGGGTCAGAACCACCATGACGGATCAGAACCAGTGAAGAACAGAACTGAACAGACTCATTTCCTGAGAGTCAAAGTCTGACGTTTCTCCTCTTTGTGTCGTCGTCTCTCTGATGAGTTACGCTGAAGAGACTTTGTGTCTGCTGTGACATGTGACAGGAGGAGGTGTGTGTGTGTGTGTGTGTGTGTGTGTGTGTGTGTGTGTGTGTGTGTGTGTGTGTGTGTGTGTGTGTGTGTGTGTGTGTGTGTGTGTGTGTGTCAGGTCTGAAGCCACAAGGCCGAGAGCCGCAGCAGCGAGGAGAGAAAAGGAAGTGGACTGACACTGAGGACGGCTCAAGGTCACACCACTCGCCTGCTGGGGGACGCCGTCACACACACACACACGTCCGGCCTCTGCTCAATATCACCCTCACACACACACACACACACACACACACAGACTGCAGGGTGTGGTCTGTTGTTTGTGTTGGTCCTGCTGTTGTTTCAGACCTCAGTAACAAAGAGGAGGTTATTTAAAGACCATCAGTCATTTATGATCATTTCTTCATGGAAATATAATCAGAAAGTCAAAGTTTAGTAACAGAACCTCATTGAAAAATTATCTGATTTAACTTTACTGTGCTCTTGTTCAAATATATTAACTCAACAGCACATAAATCCATACCTGTTAACAAAATCATGATTTTATTGATAATTCGGCTCAATAATAAAAACACCTTTACCTTTTCATTTTACTACAGTAGAAGTTTATTGGCCCAGTTTATAGACTACAGAAGTGGAGAAACGCCCCCGCTTAAGTTTATGTTTTCTGAATATAGTACTATGTCTGTGACCCTATATGTCCTGTTGATGAAGTTAGGTGCTGTTCTGAGCATTATTTGTGGCTATAGAGTGGCGTTTTGGTTGGGGGCGTGGCTCTCTGTATTACTATCCTGCGGTCGTTACTAAAGTTGGTATAACTAGAGAAGGAAGCGGTCGACAACATTCATCTCTGGAGGGGGGGTCTAACTCGGTGACCCTGAGTTAATTTTACTCCAGAATATCCCTTTAACAGGTTTTAAGATGAACCATCAAAACCTCTACAGACCAGTTATCAGCTGGTCCAGATGACCTGATCTCTGGATCTCAGACCGGGTCACTGCTGCTTCTGTAATGTTGTTCCTGGTGGTTTGGGGGGCGTGTCCTCTGTACTGGAGGGGAGGACCTAAAGGAAAACCATGACCTGCAGACTGTGCAGGTGTTGACAGGTTTATTGTAGACCCGTCTGACTCAGATGTTTGACATACTGATGTTGTTGGACTGACGTCAGACTGTGATCAGGATCAACCACACAGACCTCTGAGGGGAGGGACTTCCTGTTGATTTGGTTTATGTAAGACTGACTCGACCCGGTTTGGGGACAGTGTTGGTTCTGTCTTCTCTGCAGTGATGGACCTCATCCTGTAGTATTTTTATAATTAGTCCTTAATTGTCCGTCGTACTGATGAGGAGGAAGGAAATCTGGGGATGAAGATCCTGAGCCGAGAAAATTCAATTTCTTTGACTTTGCAGCAACAAGGAGCTGAATGTGCAAATTAGACACACTCACACACACACACACACAGACACGCTCAGTAATCAGGAGGAGTGTTTGAATCGATGGACCGGGGGGGTAAAGTGAAGATACGGCTTCAGGACAAAAAGAGAGGGAGGGTCCGGGCGTGAGACGGAGAATAGAGAGAAAATTGGTCTGTCTGGGGGAGGGGACAAGTCCGGGGGTAAGTGGGGGAGGGGTTGACAGAGAGTTAGAATGATGGAGGAGTGAACAAAGATTTATGCTCCGCCCCTTTTTAACCCTTTAGTGTTGATCAGGAGGTAAACAAGGATCAGCTGATCAGAGGGTCCAACAACGTCAACAATCATCAGCTGATCTACACTCTGACATCTATGTCATCTGGTTCTGATGGAAAACTGGACCCAGTACTGTACTAAACCCCGCCCCCCATAAAAACAGGGGTTATGATTGGTCCAACCTGAACCAGCTCTTGTACTGACACTGACCCGGTTCCTGATAAACCGGGTCAGATCTGAGTTCTGGACCTGACTTTATAACCCTCTTCAGTCTGATGTTGGTGTCAGGACTGTGTCTGAACTTTCCCACCAATCAGCTGGAGGGTCATGTGATCATGTGACCGCGCTGCTATGTTTACCTCGCTGTGAGCGTTTGAAGGTGACGTGGTTTCATCAGTGTGTGTGTGTGTGTGTGTGTGTGTGTGTGTGTGTGCGTGTGTGTTCTGAGGTCTCATCATGAGTTTCTCTCTAAGGTCTCTTTGTCTCCTGAGTTTCCACTAAAGTCCTCTGATCTAGTCCAGACTCTGAGAGACTCTCCAAACCTCCGAGTCTCTCTGTCCCTCAGAGTCCAGGTACCCTAACCTTTGAGTCTCAGGTCTGTTGCCATGGTGATAGTTAGAAAAGGTGGACCACAGAGGGTACTGAGGTCCAACAGCCTGAATGAATGAGAGGAATGTGGACTCTGAGGGGTCAGATGAGGTCCAGAGGTGGTCAGGTTCCTCCTGTCTGGTCCGACCCGGGCTGCCGACCCGTCACATGAGTTCAGGACCAGAGTCCGAGTCTCAGGGTGTTTTCAGGTTCCCTCTGAGGTCTTCATGGAGGTGTTTTAGCTCTCCTCCTGAGCTGACGTGTTCCAGACCGACGAGGGTCTCCTCAGACCTGGAAACAGCTGATCCTGGTCCTGATCCTGGTCCTGATCCTGGTTCTGATCTGGTTCTGATGTCCTCTGTCCTTGTCTGTCTCCTCAGCACACCTCCCTGTCAGCCAGCCGCTCAGAGAAAGGTACCAGCTGGTCCAATCGGTCCCTCGGCGCCAGATGTCGTAACTCCATCGCCTTGTGTTCGGACGAGCAGCCTCACATCGGGAACTACCGACTCCTCAAAACCATCGGGAAGGGGAACTT